TGCTTCACCCTCCCAAGTAGAGCCACCTTCCTGGCCCCCCCACATCTGACTGTCACTCTTTCTGCCTCCTCCTAGAAACACTTAACTAACTTTAAGGGAACTAGAGTCTCCTGGTTCTCCTCCCGCATTTCTTTGCTATTCTATCTCAGTTTCCTTTGCTGGTTCTTCTCATCTCAACCTTTAAACTTTGGAATCCCCTGTGGATTGGACTTCTCCTTTTGATCTTCACACACCCCCTTGGAGATATTATCCATCCGACCTGGGTTTTAAATACTATCTATAAGCTGATGGCACCTGATTCTTTTTTGTTTTTTGAGACAGAATCTCACTCTGTTGTCCCGGCCAAAAAAAAAAAAAAAGAAGATGAAAGAAAACAAAAGAAATAGGCTTATAGAAAAAAGGGAAAGGGAAACAACTGTTTGATCTTAAACTAGACACAAAAAGCACCAACCATAAAAGAAAGGTTAGAGTGCCATGGTTTCAGCCTAGCTCACAACAACCTCCTTTGTCTCCTGGTCAAACCATCCTCCTGCTGCCTTCAAATCAGGCTTTCAAGCTGCTGGGACTATAGGCGACAACCTCAATTTTTTTTTTTTTTAAGAGACAGAGTCTCTGGCTCGGTGCCTGTGGCTCAAGTGGCTAAGGTGCCAGCCACATACACCTTAGGTGGTGGGTTTGAATCCAGCCCAGGCCCGCCAAACAACAATGATGGCTGCAACCAAAAAATAGCTGGGTGTTGTGGAAGGTGCCTGTGGTCCCAGCTACTTAGGAGGCTGAGGCAGGAGACTTGCTTGAGCCCAGGAGTTAGAGGTTGCTGTAAGCTGTGATGCCACAGCACTCTACCCAGGGGGACGGCTTGAGGTTCTGTCTCAAAAAAAAAGAGATGGAGTCTCATTTTGTTGCCCTTGGTAGAGTGCTACAGTGTCACAGCTCACAGTAAGCTCTTGGACTTTGACATTCTCTTGCCTAAGTCTCCCCAGTAGCTGGGACTATAGGCACCTGCCACAACGCCTGGCTATTTTGTTGCACTTTGGTTGGGGCCAGGTTTGAACCTGCCACCTTCGGTATGTGAGGCTGGCGCCCTACTCACTGAGCCACAGGCGCTGCCCACAACATGCAAATTTATATCTGCACTTGGATGTGTAAATAAGCTATTGATTTGACCGTGAAACATGCTTCTGCCTAAGGTTGTTTCCCAGCCCAGGAAGCGGCAGTATCACACTTCTGTTATGCCTAGGTGTCTCTCAAAGACCACATTGCCAGACAAGTCAAATTTAATTTTTTTTTTTTTTTAGAGATAGAGTCTCACTTTGTCACCCTCAGTAGAGTGCAGTGGCGTCACAGCTCACAGCAACCTCCAACTCCTGGGCTTAGGCGAATCTCCTGCCTCAACCGCCCGTGTAACTGGGACTACAGGCGCCCACCACAAGGCCTGGCTATTTGTTTGTTGCAGTTTGGCCGGTTTGAACCCACCACCCTCTATATGGGGCCTGCGCCCTACTCACTGAGCTACAGGCGCCGCCCCAGACAAGTCAAATTTAAAGAGGAGTCCTTTTATTGGAGAGCCGGCCAGCGACTCCCTCACTGTCCCAACATGGGGTTTCTGAAAGCAGGCCTGAGTGCTTAACGGGTCAGGTTTTCAAGGCTTGGTCTGCATCCTGGTTGGCATGCAGGCCTCCCAGGTGCATTCCGGAAGGTTAACAAGGTTAACAAGCATTGTACAGAAACAGAATTTTGCAGTTAGTTAGCTATACATTTTTGTTTTAGTACTTTCCCCACCTCGTATTTCTTTTTCTTTTTTTGCAGTTTTTGGCCTGTGCCGGGTTTGAATCCGCCACCCCAGTATATGGGGCCGGCGCCCTACTCCTTTGAGCCACAGGCACTGCCCTCCATTTAGTATTTCTTTCTTTCTTTCTTTTTTTGTAGAGACAGAGTCTCATTTTGTCATCCTCCGTAGAGTGCCATCGCGTCACACAGCTCACAGTAACCTCCAACTCCTTGGCTTAGGCGATTCTCTTGCCTCAGCCTCCTGAGTAGCTAGGACTACAGGCGCCTGCCACAACCCCTTGCTATTTTGTTGCAATTTGGCCTGGGCCGGGTTTGAACACACCGCCCTCAGTATATGGAGCTGGCGCCCTACCCACTGGGCCACAGGCGCCGCCCTCCACCTGGTATTTCTTAAAGGTCTGTCCGGGGACAGTTGGTACTTCCTGGTTCATTTCTCAGGGGAGTTAGTCAAGCAAGAAGTCAATGAGTACTTTCCCATCTATTTTGGGAGTGAACCAGACTTACTCCATTTTGTTTAGGGCTTGAGGCCCAGAAATTTGTCAGGAGTTAACTGGTGTTTTTTATACCTTAGTCTAGGCCTAATACTTCTTCAGGCCCCACACTCAGTCTCTTCTTTCTTTCACACCCACTTCTAATGGTGCCACCTGTCTCCTTCCTTTTCATGGTTTCCTATCTCATTCTGAGGAAATGTGAAAGTCCTCTCAGCAGCCTCCAAAGCACTCCAGAGCCTGACCAGAGGCTCCTGTGCCCTCACCTGTCTGAAACAGCCCCACCCTCATTCTTCCTAGAATGTTCTTGTCCCAGGGAGTAGCATGGCTCACTCCCTCACCTCCTTCTGGCCTTTACTTAATTGCACTTATCTAAAATTATAACCCTCCCACACTTCCTGCCTTTCTTCCCACTTTATGTTTTTAAAAATTGGGGATTTTGGCTCAGCGCCCATAGCTCTGTGGTTAGGGCACCAGCCACATACACAGGAGCTGGCCGTTCAAACCCAGCCCGGGCCCACCAAACAACAATGACAACTACAACCAAAAAGTAGGTGGGCGTTGTGTCAGGCGCCTGTAGTTCCAGCTACTTGGGAGGTGGAGGCAGGAGAATCGCTTGAGCCCAGGAGTTGGAGGGTGCTGTGAGCTGTGACACTACAGCACTCTACCAAGGGTGATAGAGTGAGACTCTGTCTCAAAAAAAAAAAACAACCAAAAACCAAAAAAAAAATACACTTTCTTTTTTTATTTTTTTAATTGAGGGTACAAAGAATTAGGTTACAATGTTCACATTTGTTAGGTAAAATCCTTGTTATAATTGTGTCCCGCTTCTAAGCGGTGTGCCATCCACTCTAACATTGTGCCTATTAAGTGGGAATACCCCCATCTCTCTCGCACCTTCCCACTCCCACTTCCTCATTTCCCTGCCCCCTACTTTGAATTAATTTGAGTTTTTCTATATTTATTTATTTATTTTGAGACAGAGTCTCTCAAAGTTGTCACCCTGGGTAGCTCATAGCTACCTCAAACTTTTGGGCTTAAGGGATCCTCTTGCCTTAGTTTTTTTCTTTTGCTTGTTTTTTTTTTTTTTTGGAGACAGAGTCTCATTATATCCTTCTCAGTAGAGTGCCATGGCATCACAGCTCACAGCAACCTCAAACTCTTGGGCTTAAGCGATTCTCTTGCCTTAGACTCCCAAGTAGCTGGGACTACAGGTGCCTGCAACAATACTTGGCTATTTTGTGGTTGTTGTTGCAGTTGTCATTTTTTTAGCAGGCCTGGGCTGGGTTTGAACCTAACCACTGAGCTATGGGCATTGAGCTCTCCTACCTCAGTTTTACTACTTTTAGTAGAGAGGAGGTCTCAATTTTGCTCAGACTGGTTTCCAACTCATGAGCTCAAGCTATCTACTCGCCTCAGCCTCCCAGAGTGCTAGGATTATAGGCATGAGCCACCTTGCCTGGCCCTTGAGTTTTTTTAATGTGGGTGAGTAGTAGATAATCTACTGGCTTCATATTAGAATTGACCACATTAGATTCTTGCTTAATACACTTTCTTTTTTTTTTTTGAGACAAGAGCCTCAAGCTGTCCCCCTGGGTAGAATGCTATGGCATCACAGCTCACAGCAACCTCCAACTCCTGGGCTCAAGTTAGTCTCCTGCCTCCGCTTCCCACGTAACTGGGATCACAGGTACCCGCCACAAGGCCTGGCTATTTTTTGGTTGCAGCCATCATTGTCGTTTGGCAGGCCCTGGCTGGATTTGAACCCGCTACTTTAGGTGTATGTGGCTGGCGCCT